CTCCTCCAGTAGCCCCACTCTGATCATGTGAGCTACCCCTCCTCATCCCCTCTCCTAACATCTTCCTCTGCACACTTGCCCTGCTTCTCTCCTCTGGTGCTGGTCCCTCCCCTGCAGGTGTCTGCCCTTCTGCTTCACCCCCAGAATCTACGGCACCTGCACCTTCCCTTACCCCTGCACCGTCCTGGTGCCTCCCCCTTCCCTCACTGCTCCTACCCCTTTTGCCTTCTTTTTCCCTGATGCCCACCCCCTCACCATCCTCTGCCCCCCATTCCCTTCATGCCCCTGTGCCCGCACACATGCCTTGCTACATCCCCGCCTTCCTCATGCCCACCTCTTCTTTCAAGCTTTCTCCCAGTACCTCCTCCTCCCCCCTCTAGCCCCCAATGCCCTTACCCTCTCCTCTCCCAGCATCACCCTGTTCCCCCCTCCCACTGACACCTCCCCTCCTGCCCTTTTCCTCATTGTCTCTACTTGGCCCCCTGGCATTTGTCTCTCCTGCACCCCTGTTCCTTGGTGCCTTCACCTTTCTTCTCCTGACCTTCCCCCTTCCCTCCCCTCAGCACAAGCCCCTTCCCCCTATTTTTACCCCTTCCCTTTCCCTCCCCTACCTGGCTTCTGCCTTCCAGGTTGCGGGGCTGCTGGAGCCTTTTTGAATCCGGCGGTCACCAGCCATGACGTCACGACGCCACATCACACTTGCGTCCTGGTGTCTGCCGGCGTCCCGCCCTCTGGCTCGCACACTGCCTCCTCGCGCCGGAGCTGCATGCAGGCAGCCCGGTGCCGAGAATCACTGCACTTCCCCCTCTCTGGTGGCGCTTCACTCTTCCACCCAGGCAGCAGATCAGACGGGGCTGTGCCGCCCGTAGTGCGGGCTTCGGCCAGCCCGTTACAATGGCCCACCGGGCCAGTCCGCGGGCAAGCGTATTTGTCGAGCCCTGGAAATGAGGATCTGATACCTCTTTCAAATATGGTTCAAAGCCATCGCCATCTTCAGAGTTGAAAATCAAAGGGCAAACTCATGAGTCATAGCCAGATCTTCTTGTTGAGGAATATCTATCACTTTCTGAGTAGTTGATTCAAAGAGACTGACAGTAAGGCCATGTCTACACAAGGGAATTATTTTGAAATTAGTAAATTAGACTTAACGCCCTCCTGATTTAATAAATTCGAACTAGTGTGTCCATACTACGGGGAAGCCTGAAAATTAGTCCAAGCCAGGATCCGTTAATGTGGACGCGCTACCTCATACTAGGGATGTTAAATTTCGTTTAATCAGATAATCGAGTAGTCGAAGGAATTTCTATTGACTACTTGATTAGTTGATAAGGGGGAGAGCTCACCATCCTTGCTGAATCTCTCCCTTCGAAATGCACAGGAGCCGGTCCCGCTGCCTTTTTCTCTTTGAAATGTTCAAGAGCCACAGACAGCTCTTGTACATTTCAAAGGGAGAGGAGCAGCAGTCGGGACTGGTGCGAGTGGGACTGTTTCCTCACTGCCCTCTGCTTCCCCTGCCCCCCATGGAGCTGGTGCTGGGGGGAACTAGCTTTTAAGCCAACTCGCCCCAGCACTGGCTCCTGCTTCCCCCTTGATAAAGGCAGCAAGGGGGGAGAAGAGACTAGTCGAGTTCTTACTCAACTACACTCAGTAAGCAAATTCTTATTGGGTAGTCAACTCGTCGCTTACATCCCTACCTCAGACTTAGAGCCCCAAGAAGTACTGGGGAGTAATTAGTTTGAATTACTATGGAGAGTAATTATTCCGAAATAGTGTCACCGAAGTGTCCACACTAACACTATTTTGAAATAACTATTTTGGAATTAGCGTTACTCCTCATGAAAAGCAGGAGTACAGATTTTGAATTCTGCGTCCCATTATTTTGAAACAACAGGCTTGATAGTGTGGACACGCCACTTATAAATTCAACCTTGGGAGGGTTATTTTGAAATGAAGTCCTAGTTTAGACCACGGTTCAGTGAATAATAGAAAACCCCCACCTAGCTACACTCATTTGGAGGGAGGGGGGCCACACACGGGAAGTAAGAAATGCACAGGTTGTTCCTCCATCTCCTGGAGATAGACAATGCAATCTGTAATCTGGAAGAGTACAATTCTTAGATCAAAATTTAAGCAAAGCAACACAAGCTCTGCTGCTTACAGAAAACACCCACCTCATCATGTAAAAATGAGACAAAGAGAATTAAGTTCAAAATACCTTTTTTGAGAAGATTGTTTCTAAAGCCAAAGTTTTCTGTAATAAATGATGGAGACTCAACCAAGATCTGATGGGATTTATATCTGTTGATGATCTCAAAATCATTGTTAGTTGTACATTTAAGCCATATCCTCAAAACAGGTGTCTATATACCCCATAAAAGTGTGCGCACCTTGCACATGTGAATGCTGAAGACTAATCTTCACTTTTCATGGATCATTGGGCATTAATCAGAACAAAACATGTAATAAATGTGCAGTAGGGAACAGTCTTACTTTGGGTCCCAGGAGATGGCTGAGAGGGAAAATCCCAATTGATCCCAGCACTAGACTTGAGTGACCAGTAGGAATAAAATCTAGCCAAAAGAGTTGGCTGTCACTGAACCTTTTAATGCGGCCACAGACACGGCCATCACTTTCACACAGGACTGCTGAACAATATCAAGCCGGGGTGGTTTGCAAACAGATCTTTGATTGGTAGAGGACAGTTTCTCTTTGTGTATTGTGCAGGCAGCAGAGGAAGGTTGAGTGCACGGGGAGCTGTAGAGCAGGTTGTGCTTTCTCCATACTTATGAGCTGACAGATTAAAGATGTGTCTGTGTCTCTGGCCCTGCTAGGAGTCTGAACGCCTGGAGCTCATGAATGCTGAGCTGAAAGAGAGGAATGGAAGCAGGAGAGGCAGCAGCTGATTCTGATGCTGAACAGACACCGTCCCACTTGCATTGTGCGGACAGACAGCATCAAGACACCAGAGAGTGAAGCCAACCCACTGCTTGAACAACTAGAGAAAAAGTGAAGGTGGCACTAGCCAGGAAAAGGAGGAGACAACAAATCAGGGTCTCCAAAAACCTCACTTATGTACTGTATGAAGAACTGTGCACCAAGGCCTTGTCCAGCCAGAACCCAGCAGGCTTCCTTGGGGATTACAGGCCAACCAAATAAGGGGAAGGAGAACATCAGGAATCTACCATTCATTCCATTCTGAAGCTGAACCTGGAATGGGTCTAGCAGCTTTGGTGAGGGCAACCCTTTGCAGTACATCTTCATGGCCCTTCAACCTGCTCACCAGCCGTAGGGATCAAGCAAGCAGCCCATTGCAGGGCATTCTGAAGCTGGATCACATTGAGATACAGGGAAGGGAAATTGCAGCTTCTTCTCTTCCCACATGTACTGGTATGCACCTAGCTGGGAGTGGGGGCTTGACCCAGGAGAAATGAACACGTGGAAAATGGATGACAGGCCAAGACATGCTGGCTGTATCTCCCAGGTCTGTCCTATTTCCGTCCCTCTGGATCCTGCCACTGCTCCTTGCGCACACTCCGGAATGGAATCCGAAACAAAGAATTGCAAACACTTGACACAAGCCCTGCCTTGCAGCGGGGCCTGTCCATGGCACTGTGGCGCAGGCGCCCCACAAGCACACTCAGTAAAATGTTTACAGCCCAGCTGTCCCTCTCGGCCGTGCTTTTGAATGCACATTTTTACACTTTTTTATATTTTTTACAAAGTTTTTATACAGCAGTCTCTATATGGATTTATATAATCACTAGACGTGATCCCATAGAAATGTATGTTATAATGGTTTGTTTGTTACAAACGCATATGCCACAGTTATCTCATTGTGTTACTTGTTAGATGGCATCTGGCTACTTTCCCCTAGGCATGCTGGGAAAGAGGCCCATGCAGCCCTCCACATTGGCTCCACTGCCATCTCCATCGATGTATGTCCTCGTAATACGCAGTCCTGTATCTCTCAGTAAATGTTACTTTGACTTATTCCCTTGTCTCTTTTGCTTTGTCTGGATTGTGCTTACTGGGCTGGCACAGACTCTGGTCAGCCCTTTACACCAGAGAGTGACTGTCAGCTTTCCCCCCACACTTGTTACAGTCGTGGTTGATGGTCCTTGGCTCAGTGGGGCTAGTTCCTGAGCCATGAAGGATGGGTGTATGCATCAGTAATGGTGGCTTGGACCCAAAGATAGTTCACTCCTTGGCTGGGTATGAGGCACATGCCTAGATATAAGGAGGAATATAAGGTGCTCCACTTAGGAAGGAACAATCAGTTCCATCCATACAAGATGGGAAGTGACTGTCTAGGAAGGAGCATGGCGGAAAGGGATCTAGGGGTCATAGTGGACCACAAGTTGAATATGAGTCAACAGTGTGATGCTGTTGCAAAAAAAGCAAATATGATTCTAGGTTGTATCGACAGGTGTGTTGTAAGCAAAACTCGTGAAGTCACTCTGCCGCTCTACTCTGCACTAGTTAGGCCTCAGCTGGAGTACTGCATCCAGTTCTGGGCGCCACATTTCAAGAAAGATGTGGAGAAATTGGAAAGGGTACAGAGAAGAGCGACAAGAATGATTAAAGGTTTAGAGAACATGACCTATGAAGCCAGGCTTCATGAACTGGGCTTGTTTAGTTTGGAAAAAAGAAGATTAAGGGGGGACATGATAGTAGTTTTCAAATATCTAAAAGGGTGTCACAAGGAGGAAGGAGAAAATTTGTTCCTCTTGGTTTCTGAGGACAGGACAAGGAGTGCAGCAGGGGAGGTTTAGATTGGACATTAGGAAAAAATTCCTAACTGTCAGGGTGGTCAAATATTGGAATAAATTGCCAAGGGAGGTGGTGGAATCTCCCTCTCTGGAGATATTTAAGAACAGGTTAGATAGACATCTGTCAGGGATGGTGTAGACGGAGCTTGGTCCTGCCTTGAGGGCGGGAGGCTGGACTCGATGACCTCTTGAGGTCCCTTCCAGTCCTATTATTCTATGATTCTATGATTCTAGGAATAGCTCAGACTCACATATGCATGTAGACAGGGTGGGATGTAAATTACTACCAAGCCAGCCCAGCTGTGAGTTAGGGAGGCCATGCCGTTCTGAGCCTTCCTCCGAATTGCTCTTCTTGCTCCTCTCCTGTCCCCATGTTGTAAGGGGCACAGTAGCTTAGGTGACCACATTTGGGGAGGGGAAGTGGGCAGGCATCATGTGCACGTGAAAGAAGGTGATATAAGATTTCTCTGTTCCCTAACATGCCTCTTCTGGCCAGTCATAGCCTCTGTACTTGTTGCTGTGAAGGGATAAAGCTCAAAGCATGATTCCTCTATTTCCAGTGAGCAGATGAGTTCTCTAGCTCAAGTCTCACTATAACAACAAGGCTAGTAACTGTGTCCACATGTAATTGGAGACTCTGAGCCAAACACAAGTCCTTCACAGCACATCATTGAGAAATGAGCCCCAAACCCAACATATTGTCTCTGCACCTAGCAGATACAATAAGATAAGAAAAACATCTGCTCTTTGTCTACATCTGTGCTCCATCATGACCATGGATGGAGCTGCCTTGCTGCAGGATCCCTGAGGGTAGAATTGCTAGGAGTACTGTGCAGATGCACCATTAGGGATACCTAACATCTGTTGGCCCTTCATTCCGGAGAACTGAACTGGGCAGAGAGGAAATAAAGTTGACTTAAATGCTATCATTTTAAAGGAAGGGGCGGGGGAAACCTTGTCTGAATGTGGCTGTGGAAGAAGTCAGCATTAACATAGAACATAAGAACGGCCATACTGGGTCAGATCAAAGCTTCATCTAGCCCAATATCCTGTCTGCCAACAGTGGCCAAGACCAGGTGCCCCAGAGGGAGTGAACAGAACAAGTATTCATCAAGTGACCCCTCTTTTGTCATCCAGTTCCAGCCTCTGACAAACAGAGGCTTGGGATGCCATTTCTACCCATCCTGACTAATCGCCATTGATGGATCTAACATCGATGATTTTTTCAAGTTCTTTTTTGAACACTGTTAAAGTCCTCATCTTCACAATATCTTCTGGCAAGGAGTTCCACAGGTAGACTGTGCTGCATGAAGAAAAACTTCCTTTTCTTTGTTTTAAACCTGCTATCTATTAATTTCCTTTGGTGAACCCTAGTTCTTACATTATGGGAACCAGTAAATAACTTTTCCGTATTCACTTTCTCCATACCTGTCATGATTTTATAGACCTTTATTATATCTCTCCTTAGTCTCCTCTTTTCTAAGATGAAGTCCCAGTCTTTTTATCTGTCTTCATATGGCACTCATTCCAAACCCCTAATCATTTTAGTGCCCTTTTCTGAACCTTTTCCAATGCCAATATATCTTTTTTGAGATGAGGCAATCACGTCTGTATGCAGTATTGAAGATGCGGGTGTAGCATGGATTTATCTAGAGGCAATAAGATAATCTCTGTGTTATTCTCTATCCCTTTTTGAAATGATTCTTAATATTCTGTTTGCTTTTTTGACTGCCTCTGCACACTGAGTGGATGTTTTCAGAGAACTATCCACAATGACTCCAAGATCTCTCTCTTGAGTAGTTATAGCTAAATTAGTCCCCATCATTTTGTATGTTTATCTGAGGGAAAAGTGTCCCTCCCCAAGTCAGGCAGCTTCATGCATGATCACTTTAAGCCCCTGGGTTGTGCTCATTAAGCAGCTGAGGGACCATGCTGCCGCGCAGCTTAGAGGGAACCTTGCCTGAGAGAGTAACAGAATGAACTATAGGAAGGGTGTCAGCATGACAGAACTCATCCTCAGATGTGGCCAGAAGGAGGCACTGAGGAGAGCACACAGTGATAGATATACTGTTGTGAGTTTCCCCCTCACACAAGGCTATGAGAGCAACAGTACTTACCACCTTTATGTGGAAGTAAGTCATTTCCATCTTAAAACAACAACCAGCCACATCCTGCTGCCACTAGGCGAGAGGAGAAGACACAAACTGGATTGTTTATATGTTGCATTGCTCAGTCACTAGGACATGGGCTGCCAATAAATGCCTACAAAGTGACTATTCAGGACAGATCCACCAGCACCTCCCTGAAGGGGGTGATTGTGCAGGGGATTCTGGGTAAAGCCCATTCCTTTTCATTCACCTCAGCAGAATTCACCCTCTGCTGCTCTTCAGTCAATCGCCAGCTGGCTGCAATTCAGCTTAGGTCATTTTGTCAGTGGTACCTGGCTAGGCCTCAGCTATGACCAAATAAGCCTAATGAATAGGGGTTGGACTGTGCAGAAAAATGAGAAATGGCATATCTGGTCTGCAGAAAACAAAACCCACAGCAAATCAGATCACACAAGAGAGGCAGCCCCAGACCAGAGTTCAAGCTCATGCAACCTCCAGAAAAGTTCAGAGGTGGCCACAAGGTGAGAGGCTAATACAGCCTGCCTCTATATGTCAGTGGTATTTTGCATTTACTTCTGCAGCTGCTGCGTGCATGGTATGGTTGGAAGATGGAGAGTCATTAGTCATCCATGGCGACTTGGTGTATGTAACAAGTGGAGAAATCCTATGAATAGTTGTAATCTAAGTAGAGGGTAATTAAGTCAGTCTACTTAGCAATTCTGTGCTACAGAGTTAAGGTGTTTGTACAAACTATGCAATATACTACAGCTAGATTTTCTATAGGAACCTTCTCAATACTAAAAATGGAAGTAATAGAATTCATGTCTTTCCCTTGTTGGGAACCAAGGACCAGTCTTCAAGACAGTTACTTGCCCACACAATAATTTCACATTTTTTCCCATGAATAACACTCCAGAGATAAACCATTATAGCACAGGAGTTACAGTGTACCCACATCACTAACTAGAGAGTTTTTATTTTCCTTTAAATAAAGATTGTATTGCAGGATCTAAACTCCAATAAACATACATAATACCTTGCAAAGTAAATACAGGGACTGGGATTTCTGACAATGGAAGATCAGCTGCTTTCACATAGACTCACACAGGCTATATCTACACAGCAGTGTTAATTTGGAATAACTGATATTCTAACAAAGAGCATGTTTACACTACAAGCCTTTATTTCAAAATAATGTCGAGCTGGAGGACTTCTTACTCCAACTCATGGTAACTCTCATTTCATAAGAAGTAAGGATGTTCTTCCCTCCACTTCCTGTTGTACAGACAGCACCAAAAGCTGAAATTGATGTAGCTGAAGTTGATTTTAGCCCTGCTGTGTAGACATGCCCTCAGAGTATTACACCAAGAAGTAGATAAAACAATTAATTGTACCATATAACCAGTTGTCCAGTAGCTCTGTGGGGTACGTCTACACTTGCTCCCTAGTACGAACTAGGGATGCAAATGTAGCCAACCGAAATTGCTAATGAAGCGGGGATTTAAATATCCCACAGTTCATTAGCATAATCTTGCCCGCGCGATATTCCACTCGCCAGCTGATTCGAACCAGGAAGTGTATTTCGGGATGTGTTAGTTCGAATCAAACCCCTTGGTTCAAACTAATGTTACTCCTCAAAAAATGAAACCAAGGGATTTGATTCGAACTAATGCGTCCCGGAGCGCATTCCTGGTTCGAATCAGCTGGCGAGTGGAATATCGCGCGGGCAAGATTATGCTAATGAAGTGTGGGATATTTAAATCCCCGCTTCATTAGCAATTTCGGTTGGCTACATTTGCATCCCTAGTTCGTACTAGGGAGCAAGTGTAGACATACCCGTGGAGACTAACAAACATATATATATATCTATATATCTATCTATATATATATATATATAGTATCATGAGTTTTTGTGGGCAAAAAGAAATAGGTTTTGCCCACAAAAGCTCATGATACTATATATATATATATATAGTATCATGAGTTTTTGTGGGCAAAAAGAAATAGGTTTTGCCCACAAAAGCTCATGATACTATATATACATTTTTGTTAGTGTCTAATGTCTACACAGCAAGGCATAAATCGAATTAAGATATGCAATTTCAGCTACGTC